TGGATCAAGGGTCTGACTAAGGCAGTTTCCTGTATTCCTAACAGGTTGTCCAAAGCTATTGGGTGCGTTAAAGGTCTGAAGTCAATACAAACCTAGTCTGATACTACTTGCTAGTATTTGTAAGTTCAGCTCTTCGGTGGCTGTAAGCTTCTGAGCCAATGGCATTAAAAAAATCTATAAAGTAATCTGCCCATTGATGTTCTTATATAAATAATCATACCATTTCCAGTTAGGACTCCCATGGTGCTGTATGATTCAAACAGTGCACAATAAACAAAGTAACTTAAATCAGCAAGTATGCCTTTAAATAGGATTAGTTCTGTTGATTACATAAGGCCTGGGTTCACTGAAGCACTGTGTATCTTTAGCAGCAGTAGTTGGTGGCTTATAGTGATTAAACCTTTGCTGGAAATTAAGTTAATCAAATGCAGCTTGCTATAGCAAGGGACGATCCTGCACATCTTGATTCCCTATGCACTGGCATGATGATCTGCATGGTTTCAGCAAAGCAACACATAACAGAATGAGCAGGAAGCAGGACAGGGCTGACTCTGATACATTTTGCTGCCTGGGGGAAGTCAGATGGCACGCTTCCTTTCAGTTGTGAACATGGAGAACCCTCATTTGGCAAGCTTTCCTCTACAAGCCCCATTAAATGGAACTGCTGGGGTGTTGTATGGCTCTCGTTCAATGGAGCTTGAGCAGAATTTCTTGGTAGATTGGGCCCATAATACATGTGTCTCCTGCTTGACTGGGAGTGCAATTGGATGTATATCTACTGAGAATGAGTTAAATAGAGCATACACCTATATAGGAGTCCCATATTGATTATGCTGAAACTCTGCTGGAGTGAATATGGGCATTCCAGGCTGCCATCCATTCTAAATACACTTCAGTTTCTATTAACTAACTTCCAAAGGAGATTAGGTTTGCAGACTAAGAACAGCTTCTGGTGTTCTGATTACTGGGAGAAGTTTGGGTGGCTTGTTTACAAGTTTCTCAGCTGCCTTCACCCACCCTGGGCACGGGGGCCTAGCCAACTTGCTGTGCTTTTCGATGGAAGCTTGGTCAGCAAATAGCAACAGCTGATGCTGCTTATTGGAGATGGTGGTGAAGTACTTCAGATTCTGCAGAATTCCAAATAGAATTGAGTTGCTTTGGCAAGATTCAGGAGATACCTGAATTGAGGTAGACTTCCTCTGAATCTGACTGCCCTCCCTCAAGATTTGTTAATAATCAGGTGAGATTGGACAGTGTGCCTGCATAAACTGATAGTTTTCTTTCCAAACTCTTCATATAAGGAAGATGTCACAGTAGGGTGAGCAGAAAGAGTTGGCTCCATGATAAACAGCTCAAACTTCTAATCACTGTGAATGGCTGTGAGGGTTCTCAGATCCTAGTGCTCCGAGGGAGGAAAGTAAATAATAGATCCCAGACCTGTTCCAGTATTCATTGCTATTTGTTAGTTCTCCCACTCAGTGCAGGAACATTAAAAAAATTTTGGTGGAAGCTGGAAGACTTAGCAGAGCATAGGACTGGATGTGTGCTTGGATAATAATGGATGTTCAAGTCTTTCTGCCTCCATTCATCACCCACCACCCATCTATTGTACTTTCTGTGAACTATGGTGTCAGCTGATCAAAAAGCAAACAAAAAATAAAGCATTGTGCTTTTTTATTCTCAGCATAACTTCCTCACCTATTCTTCTGAAATGTTGTCGGTGACTGTGGATGCCTCTATGGCATATTGGCTTTTAATTCAAATTGCAAAAAAAAAAAAAAAAGAAAAGAAAAACAATTACCCCCGCACACACAGCATTTTTTACTATGTTCCTTCTACAAAAGGAGGTACTATCCTTCAGAAACTTTGCACATGTCTTAGCTAAGGCCACCTCTGTGCTGTATGCCATTTTCATAAAAATTGCCCATAAGAAACATAGTGGAAAACATTAACTCATTTGGAAACCCCAGACTATAAATGCTTCTCTTGCACAAAACCCCAAGAAATTATTCATCTTACTCTTGGCAGGCATTATCCACTAGGAAAGGGAAACTATGCCTGTGATTTTTTCACTTCTCCCAATAAATAAAAAATAATCTTGAAAGTTTGCTTTAAAAAGGTTGAAGCATAAATGTGCCTGCAGATTTCATCCAATACCAAGAAACCACAAAAACTGTTACATTTATTTCTTGATTTCCAGTGATAGTCAATGGGAGACATGACATTAAGGCAGTCCCAGGAAAACCTCAATGCTTTCCAAATCAGGTCTCAGCTAAATGTTATGGTCAATGGACACTGAACCTCATCTTTGGATTTCTGCAGACCAAGCAGCTATGTGGGTGCCTTCTCAAGTTGGGTTTTCTAGCTAAACAGATCCCCCCCCTCCAATTGAGAAGTAAAGTGCTACTGAACACTAATTTAGAGGCGGCAGGGAGTAAAACAGCAAAATGCTGCTTCTGGATGTCTTGGGGACCAGCGATGTGTTCATGTCCTTTACTCCAAGTCTTAAGTCTGTACTTTCAAGTCCAAGTTGAGTCTCAAGGCATTGCAAGAAATTATCAAGTCAAATTTCAATTCTCAAGGGGAGGTGGTGGTGGGGTGTTTGTAGGGCTGTGTGAGAGAATTGTAAACCCCCAGTGTTCCCACTGTAACCCCTTCCTTCCCTTTTCTTCCTGCCATCGCAACCCCTTCCTCCCTATCCTGCTCTTGCCCCTTAAAACTCTCTCCCTCCCACTGCCTCTGCTGTGTTCATGCCTGCTACAGTAAGTCCTGGGGCAACTCGGTTGTAAAAAATGTGAAAATCTGAAGTTGAGTCTGAGTTGAGTTGCTGATGTGACTTGAGTTGGACTTGGGAGCAAGTTGTTCAACTTGAGTCCCCGACACCATCAGGGGCATCTGGTTGGCAAGATGCAGAGTCAAGGTGGCCATGTTGCTCTCTTTACTCAGGTCAACCCTCCCTTTGAACAAGTGCCAGAAGACTTCTTCAGTTCGAAAACATGTCATTTTTGAGGGATTGTTCAGTCCAGTTCTTGTTTTAAAGTAATCATAATCCACAAAGATATCCACAAATAATTAGCACCTGCATTGTAGATTGAACAGACAGACAAACTGGTCATCTGGTTGTAGTCTTCCTCATTAATGTGGGGTATTTCTCCTTAAATTGTAAGTATTGTTTCTCTGTGTAAATTTTGTGTAATTTTTTCTGGTGCTGCTTTTGGCAATTATAGTGATTCAGGAAAGATAAAACAAAGTACCTCACATAGTACATAATACAACTATGGAACTCATTTCCACAAGTTGTAGTGATAAGCTGCCATTCTGAGCAGCTTTAAAAGGAGATTTGTGCAGGAAAAGGTCTTCAGTAGCTACTAGTCATGATGTATCAAAGGCAGTATGCTTCTCAGTACCAGCTGACAGAGCACCAGCTTTTGCACTCAATCTGTCCACAGGCTTCCCAGAGACTCCTAGTTGACCAAGATGCTGTACTAAATAGGCCTTTGGTCTGATTTTGTGTTTTTAATGGGCTGTGAGACTATTGGAACCACATTCTGATCTAGCAGGCTTCTCTTTGTTATTATGCACCAGACTGAGTGCTTCCGGATGGACAGTTCGTAATGCATCAATCAAAAGTCAGTGTGCAGTCATTTTATCTTTTCCTCTTTAACAGATTTTCTAAAGTAAGAGAAATGCAGCAGGGAAGCACAAGAGGATTAAAAACAGAAAACCACATTGTCTGAAGCTCCTATAAAATATGAAGAAGGCAGGTCAACTGCACCTTGGCTGGAAGCACCTTGAGCTGTTTGCTTGTTGTTGTTCATTGCACAGTTGTGTCCGACCCATCGCGACCCCATGGACAACATTCCTCCAGGCCTTCCTGTCCTCCACCATCCCCCGGAGTCCACTCAAGCTCACACCAACTGCTTCAGTGACTCCATCTAGCCACCTCATCCTCTGCCATCCCCTTCTCCTTTTGCCATCAATTGTTCCCAGCATGAGGCTCTTCTCCAGGGAGTCCTTCCTTCTCATTAGGTGGCCAAAGTATTTGAGTTTCATCTTCAGGATCTGGCCATCTAAAGAGCAGTTGATCTCCTCTAGGACTGACCAGCTTGATCATCTTGCAGTCCAAGGGACTCGCAGGAATCTTCTCCAGCAGCTGTTTGCTCACAAGAATGTATATTGCAGTTGTTGCCCACTGTACCGCAACAGTCACAATCTCTCTCGCTCATAATGTCACAGATGGTTGAAATTTTTGGCTTAGCTCAAGATTATTTTGGGGGAGGGTGTCAACCTATAAAGAGTATTTGGAAAAAAGTGGACCAAACAAAATTCCCTCTTGAAACTTCTCTATGAAATTGAACAAAACTACATGGGGGAAGGAATGGGGGCTATCTCCCTTCTAGCTTTAAAATTAATATTTCTGGATAGGGGGTAATCTCTCCACCTATTTATATTGAAATAGGGAGGAGCTCCCAGTCCAAATAATTGGCTAGTGGGAGGGGGGGAAGGGGAGAAAGAAGTTGCTCAGCCAATGACAGCTCAAGAAAGTACTTTGGCTTCAACCGGTCGTTTGCAACACATTCCTTTTGATCCACCACAGTGTATAACATTGCCCCGTTTGCAAAGCAGCCCACCCTTAGAGCGGGGTGCATGCCGGAAGCTGTAGTCCTCCTGTGCTGCTTCGTTAGCTAGCAGTGGGCGGCGTGATCTCTCCGGCGCAGACTACATTGCCCATGGAGCCGGTCGGGAGTATATAATCAGCTGCGGAGAGCTTGTGAAGTGCAGTAACCATGTGGATGTGCTGCTGAGCTAGCTCTTGGCGTGAGGTGTGAGGTGAACGGGGGCTGTTGCGCCTCCATCCCTAACGGAACTCGGCAAGAGCGAAGGGCTGCCTTCGGAAACATGGACTTACAAAGCGGCTAATAACCCGCTCCGGCTCCAGGGCGAGCGGAGCCCCATATGCAATCAGGTAAAGGCAAAGGGGGTGGCGGCGGCGACGACAGGGCAATGACAGAGACCAGAAGCAGCCGAACTTCTTTCCTGCCTTGGGTGACTCGCCAGCTTCTCGGAATCGGTTCGTTGCAGCCCTGCTTTGACTCTGGCTTTCGGTGTGTTTAGTCCCCTTATCTGATCACGCTGCTCCTGTTTAGACTGGAGGGATTGCGGCTTTGGTGGAGGTGGAAAGAAGCAACAGATCAAATAGCGCTCCTTCCCCTCCCCCACTCTCCCCTCCCCGCGCCTAAGTTTGTAACTCTTGTCAGCAGCAGCAGCAGCAGCAGCAGCAGCAGCAGCAGCAGCATTCACTCCTTTGAAGCTGTAGGGGAAGAAAGCCGAAGAAGTCAGCGACCTCGCTTGAAAGGCGTTGCTGAGCCAGACGGGTCCTCGGCTAGTTAGAACTTATTGGCCACTGATGCCTCAAACTGATAAGGGGGCGGGTGGGACGCGTGTCTGTGTATTTGTGGTGTGTGTGTGTATGGGGGGGGTAGCTGATGTATGGAGAAAGAGGGATAAAACTGCAGATGTTTCCCCGGGTTTGAGAAGGGATGCACAGCTCGCCAGCCTCTCGCATTCCCTCTTAAAAGGTACTTGTTTCCTGGAAACACTGTGAGATTTTCCTTCGGTCTCTGTTGTTGTCTGAAGCCGGAGCAGCTCAACGTCTCTCTTGATCCTGACGGTTCGGTGGCAGCAAAGTTTTGACTTCTGGGGACTTCCGAAGTTATTGACTCGATTGCTTTGGTTTGACTAAGTAGAGAGCGTGAAAGCGTACACAGATTCGCTCCAGTTAATGTGGCAAGGACATGTGGAAGGCAGAAATAAAGATCCCCGCCCCGCAGTTTAACTCAAGGACAATTCAGTCAGTAGATTACGATGTTGTGCGAATCTGCCAGTGATGCCCCCGGGAGGAGGGAGACCCGAGCTGCGTTCACACAAGTGGTACCAAACCGCATGATTCTGTGGAGGTTACGGAGCACCTGAGTACGTCGTTCCTGGGGTATTAGACAGAAGGGAAATGCAATGTCTTAAAAAGAGACCTGTTTCTTCCTTTTGAACCTGTTGATTGTGTGAATGAAGTGAGAGGCTAAGTGAGAAATGGCAGGGCTGTGTGAACAGAAACACAATCCCACCCCAAAGCAGGATGGGGGAATAGAGCCATTTATCGTTGCTGTAGTGTTTAAGAGCAGTTTATTGCTCTTTTTCTTTTTCTTTCTGCTTTTTTTAATGAATTGGCTAAAACAGTATGCAGTATTCCAAATACAGCTCGCCCCCCCCCCCCACGTATGGGTACTGTGATACTGGAAGTTTTACTTTCAGTCCCTTTCCTAAGAATCCATAACATGGAATTAGTTCTCTCTCTTTCCCACACACATACCATCACTGCACCCTGAGATGACATTTCTTTTCATAGGACTTTTGGAACTCTTTGCCCTGTTTGAGTTCTCACAGTCCTGAGTAATGTTGTCTTAATGCAACCCCTTTGCTCACCCCCAACTCAGAAATGGACAAATTAAAGTGCAGAGAAAATGACATTATAATAATATAAATAGCACCTTTTCTAGTGCATAACATTGTAGACACTTTACCTTTATTTTCCTCCATTGCAAGAATGTGCTCCTGCTCTCTGCTTCTTTGTTTTTGACTCCTTATTGACTGTACCTTTCCTCTTAGCCCATAACCTTAAAGTTTTCTAAGGTGCCTTTAATAATAGACTATGTCAGGAGCACCAATCCACATGTTTAATACTCTCAAGGAAGCCTTAGAACTAAACCAAAAAATAGAAAATGTTAGGTAGGACTTACTTAAGCAAATGTCATAGTGTACTGATTCTTCATTAGCAAGGCTCTTTCTTGCAATAAATCCTAGCTATATTAATGAATTCTTCCATTTTACCTGGTATAGATATACTTTAGTACGTATGTATACCAGTGATTATTTTTAATTAAACCATCTGTGCAACAAATGCATGAGTAAGACTTGATATTCCCAATTTATAGATGGGTAAATTGAGGTTGAAAGAATCCATGTGATTCCCCTCCACCTTGCTTTGTTGTTGTTCAGTCACAAAGTCATTCCCAACTCCTTGTGACCCCATGGACCACAGCATGTCAGGCTAGCCTGTCCTCCACTGCCTCCTGGAGTTCAGTCTTACTGTGTGTCCATATATTCAAAGATTCCTTCAAAGTGCTTGGATGATGTGAAATAGTTGAGCTGGAAACTAGGCAAAATGATTTTTTACTGCAGGCATTTGTTGCCAAACTATATCTTTCAATATATAAATCCCTTTGCAAATGTTGCATCCCTTCGCACCTTCTTGTATCACCTGAATAGAGTGTCTTTAGATCTTCATTATATTTCCTTCCAAGGATGGCCTTCACCTCCACTGTCCTCCTTAGTGCTATATGGTAGGTGCTCAGCTCAGTGAGATATTGACTTAGTAAATACTGCATCCTTCCCAAGTAGTTTAGAAATTGTCAAGTTACAATTTCCAGGCAGTGCTGAATGAGGCCGCTTTAGATTACAAGCTCTCCATCACTACATAACTGTCTCCTCTCATGTATTTTAATACTAAACTGTCATAAAAGTTGTCAAATGTGCAATGTTATGACTAGATTTCATAAGGCCTAATCTAGGGTTGAGTAGAGAATAATATACTTGTTACAAACTTTAGAGTAGGGCAGACTTGTGCAACTTCTACCTTCCCCACAGTGGCCTAACGTTCCCCAACCACCTTGAAATCCTCCCCACCATTATTCTGCAATCCGTTCTTAGAGATCATCCTACAGACTGCTGTGCTAGTAGAAGCAAAACAGTGGTTATATCAGGATTGCTGGGCTATGTGTGGCTCCTAATCTCTAAGCCAGTATTGCAAGTAGTCTTTGTACACTGCTAAGATCTTATGGAGGACACTTGGAGCTAACTAGTAGAATAGGGGTTGGAAATCATTTGGTTTCCAGATTATTTTAGACTACAGCTCCCATCCTTCCTGACCATTGCCGTTGCTATTTGGGACAGAATGGAGGTGGAGTCCACAGATTCTGCAGGCCTGCACTGGAAGATTCATGGAGGATGGAATGGGTGCGCTGCCCAGTCTTTCTGGTCATTCCATTTCCTTGCTCTCATTTCTTAAGTCATACACACTACCGTTTTGGGCTCTGCTCAGTAAACTTTAGAACAGGAATAGATAGCTTGCAGATGTTCAGATGTTTTGGCCTAAACAGCACATGAGTTTTAGCCTGCCTAGCCAATGGTGAGGGAAGATGGGAGCAGTGTGCCAAAACATCTGGAGGATGTCCCTTCCTGTCCTGTCTTAGAACAACCCTGCAAGCAGGTCTTGCTCCCTTTTCAAAAGGTAGATGATTCCCCTGCCTCCTTATTACAGACAAGAGGTTACAATACAGGAGTTTCAATTCATTCATGGCTTAAGTAAAATTTGATGCAGGAACTCCTTCATTCATCCTCTTAGCTCAAGACTACACTAGTTTATTGGGCATTTTTGAGCCAACATTTGCACTTGGATTACCCTGATATCAGTAAGGATTCAGAATTACCGTGTTGTATCCCTGTTAGCCAAAGAGACTACACTTTAAATAGTGTCGGTACAATTCTGAAAATTCAAGGTAATTTAAAAATGGATATATATCATTTTTTCTCTTTCTGAAAGCCATTCCCTTGAACAAAATGCTATTTTTATTTTTAAGATATGTGCTATTGTGTTAGAATGGGCCTCTATAATAGTAAGTTGAGAGTGTGTTTGCTCCTCCTTCCCTCAACCTTAAAAAAAAGTTGATATATAAGTGAGAGGATGTATTATATAAACACACATGAATGCTGTTTCAGATTTGGCTGGGGATGGTCTTAAATGGTCAAAAGATGGGTAGCTGCAGCTGGCTAGTTCTAAGGGTCTTGGTAACTAGTCTAGCAATCTAAATATTTAGTTGTTTCCTAGACTACAATAACTGCTTTTTTTAAAAAAAGGCAAAATACTTGACAATTGTGTGTTCTTTTGTGTCCTGTTTACTTCTTTTTAAAGGCTAATAATCGGACCTTACTCCAAATATTTTGTTGCCTGAGGCAGAAAATTAGATAGTATCTCCCACAGATAATAGAAACATATATAGTAGTAAATGATATAATGGTCCATTTTGATAATCTTTCTTGGTACTCCAGCATCTGCAACCTTATCCTGCTGAGTGATTAGACTGGCATTGCTATTAAATGTCAGTGGCTTTGGTTTGGGTCTGGATGATAGGAATGTTGGAATCTGCTTTTTACTGAGTCTGACCACTGGGCCACCCAGCACTGAATTTTCTGCACTGACTGTCAGTGGGTTTCTCCGAAATTTCAGGAAGGGGCTTCTCCCAGCCCAACCTGGAAATGCCAGGGATAGGACCTGGCACCTTCTGCATGAGAATCAGTGTGATGTAGTGGTTAGTTCAGGACTGGGACTCAGGAGTTCTGGGTTCTAGTCCCTGCTCAGCTGTAGAACCAGCTGGGTGACTTGAGGCTAGTCACAGTCTCAGCCCAACCTACCTCAAAGGGTGGTTGTTCTGAGGATAAGATTGAGAGGAAGAGACAAATTATGAAAGCCGTCTTGAGTTTTGTGAAAGGAGAAAAGGTGGGATATTAATATAATAAGTGAGTACACTTGTGGTTGAGAAATTGAATTGGTTCTTACATCATGATAAACTTTCTCCAACATTGTGCTTTAAAAACATGTGGGAATACAACTCCTGCCATCTGCAAACAGTAATATCATTGGTCATGCAGAGCTGAGTTACAGTGACACGTGTTATCCAGCACATCTGGAGAGCACCACATTGGGGATGCTGTGCTAAGCCATAGTTTAGCATTAGAATGAGCTTGAGCTCAGACACTTCCCCTAAACATCTCCTGCATGGCTGTGAGGAGGACCTTGGAAGGTGTCACTTCCATGCAGATTACTGCTGGATTTGAACCTGACAAACTGTGGCTACTTTTATCTGTGGTTTGTTGAAGCAAATCCATTTCAAATGATGGGTTATGGATCTGGATCATTTCATTAAATCATAGTTAAGCTCTCAGATAAAGCATTAAATTGTGGTTAATGTGAAATAAAAGTGGAAGCCTCCAG